AGGAATCAATGTCTTGAAAAATATGTTTAGGGAGATAAATTGGGGCATGTGCAAAAATATGCAGAAACTTTGGCAGGAACACCATTTTAAACAAATTGACCCTTCCCAATAAGGACAGTAGGAGCTTAACCCACTGATTTGTTTTGGTGCAAAATAAGGAAATGCAGGGCACTAAACTGCTTTCAACAAATGTTGTTAGTTGGACTTCAATATCGAGATATTTAAATTTGTGTGTAACCTGCAATAGACATAATTGGGGTAAGCATAGGGGTAAGTCTACATCTATCGATAATATGCAGGGTTTTGTCCAATTGACTTGAAACCCAGAATAAAAACCCAAACTGTTGTATAATATCTAAGGCTGCCGGAACACTACAAGCAGCATCGGAGACATATAATAACATATAATCAGCATATAAAGATACCACTCAGTATACCCTTAAGGAGTAGTAGGGCACCCCTGTCTGGTGCCTCTTTGGATGGAAAAGGTACCCTCATCAATACCCTCTCCTCCAGTCCTCGCTGGCTCTTCTCCACTTTTAACTCCCTACTCTCTCCCCCCCACCTCCACCCAGTACCTCACTCACCGCCCACGAGATTGCTAACCACTTGCAAAACAAGATCGATGCAATCCTTAGGGACATCGCCAATGCTCAGACTTCCACCCCACCTAGCCTCCCTCCCATGACAACCCCCTCAACACTCCCCTCCTACCTCGCAACTGCCCAGACCCCACCCTACCTAACATCCCGCACACTATAAACCCCCCCAACACTCCACTCCTTCGACCTTGCTACCACTGAAGAGGTCACTAAGGTCTCTGAAGCCCGCCTCACCACCTGCCCCCCTTGACCTTGTCCCCACACAACTCCTACGGTCACCCTCCTCCTCCATCCTACGCTCCCTCACCCACATCTTCAATCTCTCCCTCTCTACTGGTGCATTCCCTTCCCCCTTAAAGCATGCGCACATCACCCCCATACTAAAAAAAACCCTCCCTGGACCCCACTGACCTGAACAACCTTAGACCCATCTCCCTGCTGCCATTTACATCCAAACTCCTCGAGCGCTTAGTCTATAATCGCCTAAGCTCCCACCTCAACGACAACAACCTCCTTGATCGCCTACAGTCTGGCTTCCATCCCCTACACTTCACCGAAACCGCCCTACTCAAACTCACCAACGACCTGCTAACCACCAAAGCTAATGGCCACTAATCAGTCCTCCTACTCCTCGACCTCTCCGTGGCCTTCGACACAGTTGACCACCCCCCTCCTCCTTAAAAAAGTATACTCCCTTGACATCAGAGAATCTGCTCTCTTCTGACTCTCCTCCTATCTATCCCAGCGCTCCTTCAGTGTTACCTATAACGCTGCCACCTCCCCCTCTCTCCCCCTCTTTGTTGGGGTCCCCCAAAGCTCTGTCCTCAGGCTCCTTTTCTTCTCCATCTACACCTCCTCCCTTGCCAACTGATACACTCCATGGCTTCAACTACCACCTCTACGCCGATGACATGAAAATCTACCTCTCTACTCCTCGCCTCACCCCTTCAGTCTCCGCCCGAATAACCTGCCTACTGAACAACATGTCAGACAGGATGTCACTCCACTTCCTCAAATTAAACCTTTCCAAAACCGAGCTCCTAGTTTTCCCCCAGCCCGTATCCACCCCCCCCAACCTCTCCATCACGACCAATAACGTCACCGTCAGTCCCACCCCGCAAGCCAAAGTTCTAGGTGTCACTCTAGACTCCAACCTATACTTCCAGCCCCATTTCCAATTTCTGGCAAATTCATGCAGGCTCCACCTCGCAACATCTCCAAAATACGTTTGTTCCTAATGCCAGACACAACTAAACAACTCATTCACTTCCTTATTATCTCACGACTCGACTACTGCAACTCCCTCCTCACCAGCTTACCTCATCACAGACTCTCCCGGCTTCAGTCTATCCTGAACTCTGCGGCCAGACTCATCCACCTTATGAACCGCTCCGTATCTGCCACCCCCCCTCTGTCATTCCCTCCACTGGCTTCCGATTGCCCAACGCATAAAATTCAAACTACTAACATTAACGTACAAAGCTATTCATAATACTGCCCCAAACTACCTCACCAACCTGATATCCAAATACCACTCAACACGTAATCTTCGCTCTCACAAGACCTCCTACTCTCCAGTTCCCTGGTCTCCTCCTCCCGTGCCCGACTCCAGGACTTCTCCAGGTCTTCCCTCATCCTCTGGAACTCACTACCCCAATCCATCAGACTATCACCTACTCTCCTCTCATTTAGGCGCACCCTGAAAACCCAGCTCTTCAGGGAAGCCTACCCCACCCCCTGCTATTTGCCGACCTCCTCCACTCTTCCTACCACTCCATCCCCCACAGCCATTTCCTCCTGTACCACTATCCCCTCCCTGCTAGATTGTAAGCTCCAAGGAGCAGGACCCTCGAACTCCTCATGTATTGTATTATTATTACTGTATTGTCTCATGTACTGTCCCCACTATAATGTACAGCGCTGAGCAAACTTTTTGGCGCTATATAAATACTGTATAATAATAATAATATCTGATATGCAGCCATTTACTCTTATATGGGCCTGAGTCATTATGGAGGATTCTAATCCAGGGGGTGAAGGTTTCGCCAAAACTGAATCTCTGCAAAATTTTAAACAAGTAGGGCCATTCTATTGAGTCAAACACCTTATGTGTGCTCAGCGCTAAAAGGACTCTACCAGTATCAGAGTTGTTGGGAACTTGAAAGATTGTGAAAAGTCTATGCAAATTTATATAGGTAGATCTACCAGGTTTAAACTCAGTTTGGTTGGGTTTAATTAGTTTAGGCACAATTAAGTTCAGTCAGGTTGCTAAGAGTTTGGAGAGAATCTTAAGATCTATGTATATCAAAGAAATCGGGTGAAAAACTCACTGTAGTGAAGGTCTTTGTTTGATTTGGGTATGAGGACAATAAGGGCCTTTCTCATAGAGGCAGGCAGGGACTTCACCTTTAAAACATATTTATAAAGGGACAATAGACAGGGAAGTACAAAATCTTTATGTACCAGATACCATTCTACTGGTATACTATCTGGGCCTGGGGTTTTATGTTTGGAGAATTTCTTCAATGTGTGGTCAAGCTCTTACAAGGTTATTGGACCGTCTAAATCAGCGGTTCTCAACCTGGGGGTCGCGACCCCTTTGGGGGTCGAACGACCATTTCCCAGGGGTCGCCTAAGACCATCGGAAAACACATATTTCCGATGGTCTTAGAAACCGAGACACCGCTCCTCTGACTCAGTCGATGTGTGGGCGGGATGACACGCTGCCCTGTCACCTGGCCACACCTCCGGGATCCCTCAACAACTCCGCCTCCTCGCTGCTGATTGGCCACCGGAACTGTAGCTCAGGAGAGGCACACAGGCGGCCAATCACCGGTGAGGAGGTGGAGCTTGGAGAGGAGGAGCCGAGCGGCAGCGCGCGTAGATCTAAGAAGATCGAGGGAACTGCCGGAGTAAGTGAAGAGGAGAGCGGCCAGAGAAGGAAGACAGCTGACAGGTAAGTGAGAGAGCGAGCCCAGGCTGGAGCAGGGGTCAGCAAGGTAAGTATCATTGGTGTCAGTGGGAGGAATAGTGCCCCATCATTTGTGTGACTAATACCAACAATGGGGCACTATTTCTCCCACTGACACCAATGATGGGGCACTATTTCCTCCCCCCCCGCACTGACACCAATGATAGGGCACTATTCCTCCCCCCCACTGACACCAACGATGGGGCACTATTCCTCCCCCCACTGACACCAACGATGGGGCACTATTCCCTCCCCCCCACTGACACCAACGATGGGGCACTATTCCTCCCCCCCACTGACACCAACGATGGGGCACTATTCCTCCCCCCACTGACACCAAGAATGGGGCACTATTCCTCCCCCCCACCGACACCAACGATGGGGCACTATTCCCCCCCTGACCCCAAAGATGGGGCACTATTTCCCCCTCCACCACACTGACATCAATGATGGGGCACTATTCCTCCCACTGACACCAATGATGGGGCACTATTCCTCCCACTGACACCAATGATGGGGCACTATTCCTCCCACTGACACCAATGATGGGGCACTATTCCTCCCACTGACACCAATGATGGGGCACTATTCCCCCCACTGACACCAATGATGGGGCACTATTCCCCCCACTGACACCAACGATGGGGCACTATTCCCCCCACTGACACCAACGATGGGGCACTATTCCCCCCACTGACACCAACGATGGGGCACTATTCCCCCCACTGACACCAACGATGGGGCACTATTCCCCCCACTGACACCAACGATGGGGCACTATTCCCCCCACTGACACCAACGCTGGGGCACTATTCCCCCACTGACACCAACGATGGGGCACTATTCCCCCCACTGACACCAACGATGGGGCACTATTCCCCCCACTGACACCAATTATGGGGCACTATTCCTCCCCCCACCGACACCAACGATGGGGCACTATTCCCCCCCCCCTGACCCCAAAGATGGGGCACTATTTCCCCCTCCACCACACTGACATCAATGATGGGGCACTATTCCTCCCACTGACACCAATGATGGGGCACTATTCCCCCCACTGACACCAATGATGGGGCACTATTCCCCCCACTGACACCAATGATGGGGCTCTATTCCCCCCACTGACACCAATGATGGGGCACTATTCCCCCCACTGACACCAATGATGGGGCACTATTCCCCCACTGACACCAATGATGGGGCACTATTCCCCCACTGACACCAATGATGGGGCACTATTCCCCCCACTGACAACAATGATGGGGCACTATTCCTCCCACTGACACCAATGATGGGGCACTATTCCCCCCACTGACACCAATGATGGGGCACTATTCCTCCCACTGACACCAATGATGGGGCACTATTCCTCCCACTGACACCAATGATGGGGCACTATTCCTCCCACTGATACCAATGATGGGGCACTATTCCTCCCACTGACACCAATGATGGGGCACTATTCCTCCCACTGACACCAATGATGGGGCACTATTCCTCCCACTGACACCAATGATGGGGCACTATTCCTCCCACTGACACCAATGATGGGGCACTATTCCTCCCACTGACACCAATGATGGGGCACTATTCCTCCCACTGACACCAATGATGGGGCACTATTCCCCCACTGACACCAATGATGGGGCACTATTCCCCCACTGACACCAATGATGGGGCACTATTCCCCCCACTGACACCAATGTTGGGGCACTATTCCCCCCACTGACACCAATGACACCAATGTGGGGCACTATTCCTCCCACTGACACCAACGATGGGGCACTATTCCCCCACTGACACCAACGATGGGGCACTATTCCCCCCACAATGACACCAACGATGGGGCACTATTCCCCCCAATGACACCAACGATGGGGCACTATTCCCCCCACTGACACCAACGATGGGGCACTATTCCCCCCACTGACACCAACGATGGGGCACTATTCCCCCCAACTGACACCAACGATGGGGCACTATATTCATCCCACTGACATCAGTGATGGGGCACTACTCCTTCCACTGACACCAATGATGTGGCACTAGTCCTCCCACTGCAAAATTACAGTTATGAAGTAGCAACGAAAATAATTTTATGGTTGGGGGTCACCACAACATGAGGAACTGTATTAAGGGGTCGCGGCATTAGAAAGGTTGAGAACCACTGGTCTAAATAGTCCTTATCGTCTGCAGAAATAGAGGGGAGAGTGATAGTATGTAAATATCCCTGTAAATCTTCCATGTTGTAGTGTGCCTTTGAGGTATGTAGATTAGTATAAAATTGTAAAATAGTAGTATTCATGATGCTGTCAGTGGACTCCTGCAGGCACCCCCTACCATCTAAAATTCTGGGGATGGCAAAGGGTTCCAGTTTGCTATTCCTATCCCCCTGTTCAAATACATGTTTAGTGGAGTAAGGCGATTTTTGGGGGGTTTTGACGATGAGAGCTATGGCATATAGCCCCCCGAATGTTTCTATTGTTGGTTCGTTTGATTCTAGAATCAGAAGGATATGAAAACATTTTGTGCCCAGTTCATCATACATTGGGAGTTATTGTTGGTACGTAGAATCAGAAGGATCTCGTCCACACCCGGCATGAAACATATAAATGTGGTTAGGCGGGATCCCAAACAACTCTCCTGCAGATCAGAGTGATTAGTATGTAAATCCCCTTTTGGCCATAGAGTGTGCCTTTGAAATTAGATAGTCAAAATTAGCCCTAATGTTGTCAGTGGACTCCTGCAGGCACCCCCTACCATCAAAAATTCTGGGGATGCAAAGGGTTCCAGACCTACCCCCTGTTCAAATTACATGTAGTGGAGTAAGGCGATTTTTGGGGGGTTATTGACATGAGTAGAGGGCACAAAGATAGGTTGCAATTGATTGGTAAGGGTAAAATCAGAAAAATAGATGAAACATATTGGTATTCCAGATCAGATACCTTTTGGGAATAGAGTGGCATAAATTAGAGTCATTAGCCCTGTTAAGCTCTCACACACCCCGGCATGTAAGACCTCCTCTTAACTGCTTTAAAAGCATCCCAAACAATCTCCACAAAGACATCCTGACCATTTTCCTGCCAGTATAACCTCATATCATCCTTGCACTTGTATGACACCATGGGGTCAACTAACCAGAAAGAGCTCATACACCAAGTAAGAGGACCTGAAGGGGATGTTTTTTTTGAAGTTGCAGTTCCAGGGTAGCATGATAGGAGATAGCTTTAGGTAAATAACAGATCCTAAGCACCTTAGTCAAAGACTCAGGATGAGTAAAGCACATATCTAAGCAAGAAAGAGTCTTATGGGATTCAGAGTGACAAGAAAACTCCCTACGCTTCAGGTGTTTGCAGCGCCATATCTCTAACCAACCATAGCTCAACCTCTCAGTGCGGTGGTCGCAGTGCCAGAACCCACCGATCTGTCAAGGGCCAAAGACAGTACTGTACATTATTAAAATCCCTTGCAATAAGGATAACTCCCTTAGCCGCAAGAAGCACTTTGTTAGTGCAGGACAATAAACGTTGCAGGTCAAACGGGGGCGGTATATAGACATTTTCCAGGGTGTAATAAGTATCAAGGTGTTTTAGAAGCACAATAAGGTAGCATCCTTCCAGATCAGAGACCACTGCCTCAATCTGTACCACCATCGTTTTAAACGATCAGGATCAAATTCCTCAAGAGTATGTAGAGTAGGTGGCATGGAATGCGTGGGATATAAAAGGGTGTTTCAGGGCCATAAATTGGGAACCAGCGAGGTGTGTTTCCTGTAGGAATATAATCAGGGATTTGATGCTTTTAATTTGACCCATTACCAGGGATGTTCTAACTGTGGAATTGAGTCACGGCGGTAGCAGAATTAATCATGGGATGGACGGAGAGCTGTGTGTATACCAGCAGCCTCAGAATAAAATACAAAAGTTTGAATAACATCTTAGTGCAGGTCAGCATTACAATGACAATATAAACATTCCAGAACCTGGAAACCCCCCCCCCCCCAAGCTGAAATGAACATAACAAATAAGCTTTTTCCCAAAACCAAAGTAAACATTAGGATGGGTGTCCGTGTAGCTGCAGTTTTACTACTACCACCACTAGTGACAGTTTCAGGGAGACCTCAGCTCAAAAGAATTGATTGCAAAATCAAATAAAGCAAAATGGACTAAAACAAAACTTGAATAAAATGTGTGTAGTAACAAAAGGCTCAGTTTGGAAACAGTTTTCTAAATAAAACTGCAATTTTAGATTATATTTATTATTTTATTATATATTATGCATACTGTATATAAATGTAAAGTCATCTTGTAATAACAATTCTTCTATTTACAATGCTGCCAGTTTATGACATTATAAGATGATGCTTCCCGCTTGCATAGGATAAGCTGTGATTGTTATGTCTTTGGAACACACAATAAATTCTCACCAAGAGTTAAGTCCTATGACTTCTACATTTTCAAGCAGAAACATTGTGGGATGCCTTAGACATCAAACTGAGTGAAAAAATAGATGGTATGAACCGAAGAAACAAAACCTCCCAGGGACAATTTCAAAAGTAAGTCTTAGTATTGATGTTTGGCTGTTAAAACAGTATGACACAATCTGTTTTTCTATCCGTATTTTACTAACATATAATAAAGGTAATGTGTCACAGTTTGCACAAGAGATGTGAAAGTGGAAAATATGTTAGAAATATACTGAAAGTATAGTATCTACTGTTTTAACATAGTATAAACAGACAATATTTTCAGATTAAAAATATCATACAGTCATAACAATGTTAAACCAAGTCAGAAAACGTAACCGTTTTCAGTGCAGTTGCTATGTATTCACTGGGTTTTTCATTCAATAGTGAAAAAATTTAATTAAATTGTTCATAACAAAGCTCTATATAATAAATGTTTTTCTCTAAATAATAACATCCACATTTCCAAATGACCATAATAAACACCTTAATCTGTTCTATACCTATTATTATTCTTTTCAATAAATGCTTTTGACCGGTGCACCCTCTGTTTGTTTTCTTTGTATCCAGTGCATTTGGACTTCCCCAGTCCTTTGAAGGCAGCAAGGCGTGCACTTTCCAGGACATTTGAAATGTGGTTATAGTCTATGTGGAGTCCATCCCCAAGCACAGGAGTATTTGGATTTGCTGATATCAGCATCACACCATCCCTTGCTCAGCAGAATTCAGACAACACAGCACAACATTTATATCCACCAGGTAACACAGACCTCTGATTACAATCATCTTGGAATGTATTCAGGCAGATGGTGGGTGTCCAAGAAAGAGGTGGGAACAGTGAAAGGTGTTTAATGACCATGGTCATCACTCTTGTTGGAAGGGTGTCTGTATACCTGTTACTCATTCTATTCACATGGCTGACAGCACTAATTGTTGTCAAATAGTAAGGAAATGAGCACTCCTGAAATGTCTTTGTTCTTTGTCTTTAGACACTCTGGGAGTGATTTACTAAAATCTGGTACATCTGTGTATAGTAACCAATACGCTTCTAGGTTTTATTGTCAAAGCAAAACTGAACAAGCTTAAGTTAGAAGCTGATTGGTTATTATGCACAACTGCACCAGATTCTGTGGGAACCAGTTTTAGTATATCGCCCCCAGAGAGTCTAAAGACAAAGAACAAAAACATTTCAGGAGTGCTACTACCCTTGCCATTTGACAACAATTAGAAGGTATGCAGCATTCCTACATCTTAAGTAAAATAGACACTCTTTTGAGGACAATGATGTGAACAATTTGGACAGAGAGGACAACTCTTTTCACAAGAGACCATTTATGTCAAACTGGAACAACTATCCCTGAATGGGGGACACCATCTGTATTCCACATATAATGCCCTTTTAACATCTTTACCCAGTAGTGGAAAATATGTCACCAGCACACCAATTCTCCAAACGGCTGTGTGAAGCAAGATTTGGCCCAGCCCCACTTCTTGATGCCACAATTACATCATAAGCCCACCATTACATCTAAATTTAAAAAATGAAACTGTCTAACATCAAGAAGTAACTTCATATTTCTCACAATCATAAAGTTACAGATACAGCAAATCAATTAAATATAAGCCATGGTCACCATTACAAGCAAATAATGAGCTGTTAAACATAAGCAAGATAATTGTTACATCATGACGGGCTGGTAAGGTTCTGGAGTTTGTTCATATTGGTTACTAGGCATCGGTAAGAAGTGTGTGAGTCAGCCTCCAATGTTATACCTGGGTGCATGAATGCCCAGTTAATATCTACTTCTCCAGAGGGCCACGTGTTGATGTTATGGCAATGCATGACAATGGTGCAGCTGGCAGACAGATATAATTTTTCTTATCGAAAGAACTTTCATTTTGTACATCAGTAAAATTTGACAAATTTGATTTTTAAGTTGAAATGGAAAAGTTCAAACAGTTCTTTTCCACACATTCTACAACAATGCCAGTAGGATGAGGATGAACCTTTTTAAACTTAAAGGCAATTTATGCCTCCCAGACAATACCAGTCAATAGACAGTTACGCATGGACCGTAAAGCATAATGTTTATAATAGCATCACCAAAAGGACTTGCAAAAAGTTCATCCTTGATATGCGTAAGCCAGATAGGATCTTGGTTGGTATTCCATCTGGCACAGGAACAATCTGGCTCTAAGGAACCACCATACTACTGAATAGTAGCTAGATATGCTGTTTATTTAAAATGGTTTGTGAGTAGATTTAATACTGATTATTAATATAAAAACGTATACAGGATAATGCACTAAGCTGGTGCGCCCTTAATTGCTTGTGTTTTTGCAGCTGCTAATTGGGAAAACCCCAGTCCTCAGAGGGCAGCAAGGTTTAAAGCATCCCTGTGTTGTGCAAAAAAGGAGTGCTTATGAAGATCCAAAAGCAGTCCACCACACTCATGCACAGGAGTTTTTAGTTCTTTTCACACTAATTTAAATCCAGATGAAGTTAGGGTATTAAATGCATG